ACTCCTGAGTTCAAGCAATCCTCTCGCCCCAGGCTCCAAGAGTGCTAGGATTCTGGCCAAATGTTGGAATTTCTCAAGGATGAGATCTAGGCTTTCTTTTCTTATTCTATACTCTCTCTCTTTGTCCATACACACAGTCACAGTCATCAATGATGTCCTAGATATTTTGATTCCATCCACAGCATATGCATTACTTATTCAGAAAGGATTTCCCTAACCTAATGTAGCTCCTCCTAGAAACTCCTTATATCGTCCAATTTCATTAACACAGAATTCATCACTGTTTTGTTTTCTTTTTTATTGTTTTTATCTCTCACTGAAACACAAGCTTGATGAGACTAGAGGTCCTTGTTGATCTTGTTCAGCATTTTACCTGTAGTACTCAGCATATAGAACTAGACAAATATTTGTTGAAAGAATAAATCTGGGACTTCTGTTTCTGGCCACAATAAAGTAATAGGGGTCAGAGTGACCCTCTCACTTTAAACAACTTTAAAAAAAGACATAATATATGAAATAATGGTTTTAAGACACTGGATGACAGGAAATGCAGGATGGCAGTGATCCCTGAAAGAAGGGAAACAAAAGGGACACCGTAAAAACCACTTTAGCTTACTGCCTGAAAGTCTCCAGTCTGCATGGTAGAAAGAGGAACCCAAGAGAGCCTGAAAATACTCCTCAGGTGGGGAGACAGTTTGGAGAGCGAGAGAGAATGGAAAAACTTCCTAACACATGGGGCATTTAGTACAGTCCTTAATAAACAGACATTGGAATTGCCTAGATTGCCTCTATAGTGAGGTCAACTTAGCCCTAGAGCGGGGCTTCTCAACCTCAGCTCCACTGACATTTGAGGCCAGATAATTCGTTGCTGTGGGGGTCTGTCCTATGCGTTGTAGACCGTTTAGTTAGCATCCCTGGACTCTATCCACCAGATACCAATGGCACCCTCTAAATACCAAAATCAAAAATGTCTCCTTACATTTACCAAATATCCCCTGTGGGCCCAAAACACCCCTAGTTGTGAACTAATGTCCTAGACTAAAAGCTCTTCTGGCTCTGCCTCACAATGCATAAAAGTGAGACTTGAAAGAATCTAAATGTTTCTCAATAAGTTAGCAGTGTCACAGAACAAAGCCCCAAAACATTGAAAGCATTACAAAAAAATTCATTGTACAACAACGTAAAATTCACAGTGCTTGGCATCCAAAATTACCAGTCATGTGAAAAATAAGAAAATATGATCCATAATAAGAGGAAAAATCATTAATAGGAACAAATAAATAACACATTATAAAATTAGTACATCAGAATGTTAATGCAGTTGTTTTAAATATACTCGATAAGTTCAAGAAGTTGAGAAAGCATGAGCATGAGGACAAACAGTAGATACAAAGGAGACTAAATTTGAACTTCTGGAGGTGACAGATACAATTTATGAAACTAAAAATATTCTGGATGGTATTAACAGCAGATTAGACTATGCCAAAGAAATGGTTAGTGAAGTTAAAATCATAGGAATGGTACTACCAGAATGAAAAAAAAAAGAGATAAAAAAAGTGAAAAAACATGAATAGAATATATCAGTGATCTGTGAGATAAAAATATTAGGTCATTAAATATGAAATGTCTGATTTAGAATAAAAAATACAGTTTATTATATCTCAAATAAGAAGCAGTACAATTAATCAAAGCATGCACCTAAATTATCGATACAGTTCTGCCATCTTAACAGTAGCTTGTTTATGCCAGCAGCAAAGAAGCCTGGAGGTGTTTTCCACAGCTTGTTGAGAATTGAATGTTTTTCCTTGCAAGAAGTGGTCCAAAGCCTGAAAAAAGTGGTAGTCAGTTGGTGCAAGGTCTAGTGAATATGCTGGATGACAGAAAGTTTCCAAGTTCAGCTTCTGTAGCTTGAGCAGTGTTGTGGTGGAGCATTGTCTTGCAAGAGGATTGGCCTGTCTCTATTGACCAATCTCAGCTGCTTAATTGCAAGCATTTTTATCATTTTGTCCAACTGGTTGCAGTAGACATCTGCTGTAATTGACTGACCAGGCTTCATGAAGCTGTATTGGATAATACCAGCTCTGGACCACCAAACAGACACCATTAGCTTTTTCTGATGAATATCCAGTTTTGGACTGTGTTTCAATACTTCTTTATCCAACCATTGTGCCAAACATTTGTCAAAAAGAATCCATTTTTCATCACACATAACAATACGGTATAGAAATGGTTCACCTTTATGTCGTGACAGCAAAGAAAGGTCAGCTTCAAGACGATTTATCTTCTGATGCTCATTTAATTCACGCGACACCCATCCATCCAGCTTCTTTACCTTGCCCATTTGTTTCAAATGGTCCAATATTGTGGAATAGGAATGTCAAACCTTGCTGCTAATTCACAAGTAGTTTGAGACAGATTCGTTTCCACTAGTCATTAGAAACATCCTTCCCAAATACTTTGTTGATATTTAGAGCCATCTGTGCTGCATTGTTTCCATGATGGAATTCATACTTGAAAATACACAAAGTTTTGACTTATCCATGGTTCCACAAAAACTGCTCTACAAAAATTTGAAAGATAAGCACAAGCCAAAATGTGCATTTGCAAGACAGAGGATGTACCTTCACAATAAAAATAAAACAAGAAGTGTTAACGTGAAATATCAGAGATATCAACTGTCAAAATTAGTACTTAAGGAAATCGGACATTTCATACTTAATAACCAAATACCTGTGATTGAAAACCCAGAAAGAAAGGAGAGTGGAAAGGGACAGAAGTATATATAAGAAAATAATGGCTAAAAAGTGTCCAAATGTGATGAAAACTATAAACTCACATATTCAAGGAAGTCAACAAACCCCAAGCAGAATATACATGAAGGTAACCATGCCAACTCCCTTTATAATCAAACTGCTGATAACTAGTGATAAAGAGAAAATCTTAAAAGCATCCATAAGGAAAAATGAAATATTACATACAGAAGAGGTAAATATAAGAAGGACAGCATGTCTATCTTCAGAAATACTACAAGCTATAAGACAGGGGAGCAACAACATCTTTGAAATACAGAGGATCTCTGATTTATGGTTCAACTTAACAATTTTTCAACTTTACAATGGTGTGAAAGTCATCATCAGAAATTGTTCTTTGAGTACCATACAACTATTATTTTTCACTTTCAGTATTCAATAAATTATGTGAGATACTGAAAACTTTATTATAGGACAGTATTTGGGTTAGATGATTTTGCACAACTTTAGACCAATGTAAATGTTTTGAGCACGTTTAACATGTAGGCTAGGCTAAGCTATGATGTCTGGTAGGTTGGGTGTATCAAATACATTTTGACTTATGCCATGTTAGAGGAAAATATGGTCAAATTTGAAGTCCACATTCAGGAAAAATATCTTTCCAAAAAAAGTGAAATAAAGACTTTCAGATAAACAATTGATCAACAGCAGACATTCACTACAAGATATGTTAAAGGAAGTTATTCAGGCATAAGGAAAGATATCAGATGGAAATCTGGATGGATACAAAAAAAGGAAGAGCACCAGAAATGGTAAATTTGTGAAAAAATATTTTTCTATTTTAAAAAATCTCTCTAAAAGATAACATTATAAAGCAAAAATAATAGCTATGTATTACAGGGTTTATAACATTTACAGATGCAAAATGTAAGAGGCAATAGTACAAAGACTTGGAGGAAGTGCTAATGTATGGCTGTAAAAATCTTAAGCTATCCATTAAGTGATATAATATTATTTGAAAGTAGACTCTGATATGTTAATGATGTATAGTAAGAACCTTACAGCAACTACTTTTTGAAAAGCAAATTAAGAGATTAAATAAAATAATAAAACACACTAGACTGATCCAAAAGAAGGCAGGAAAAGAGAAAATTGGGGAAGAAATAATAGGTGAGATAAACAGAAAATAGAAAGATGGCTGATGTAAGCCCAATTATATTAATGGGCGCATTAAATGTAAGTGGTCTACTAAAAGGCAGAGATTGTCAGATTAGATTAAAAAAAAGCAAGCCTCAACTATATGTTGTCTAAAAGAAACTCTCGCTTTAAACATAAAAACACAAATAGGTTAAAAATAAAAGTATGTGAAAAGATATACCATGATAACACTAGAGAAAAGTAAGCCTCAATGACTATAATAGTATCAGATAAAAGAGATTTCAGAGAAAAGAACATTCACAGGGATAAAGAGGTTTATTTTATAATGACAAAGGAGTCAATTCATCAAACAATTCTAAATATGTATGCACCTAATTATAGAGCTTCAAAACTGACGAAGCAAAACCTGATAGAACTGAGAGGATAAAGAGAAGAATTCACAATGATAGTTGTAGATTCTGACACCCCCTTTCAAGACTAGATAGATAGATAGAACAAGTAGACTAACTCAATTGAGCATGGAAAAGAGTTGAACAGCACTATATACCAACTTGCTTAACTGACATTTATAGACGCTCAACAGCAGCAGAATACACATTATTTTTAAGAATGTACAGAACATTTACTAAGATTTGGATAGATTCTGGGCCATAAAATAATCTCTGTAAATTCAAAAAGATTGAAATCATACCAAGTATATTTTACAACCACAACACAATTAAATTAGAAATCAGCAACAGAAAGTGGAAATCCCTAAATATTTGGAAACTAAATAACATATGTCTAACTAATCCAAGAAATCACAAGAGAAATTAGAAAATACTTGGAATTTAATGAAAATGAAAACACAGGAGAGCAAACTTTGTAGGATATAGCTAAAGTAGTGCTTAGAGGGAAATAAATAAATTTATCTTCATATTAGAAAAGAATTAGGCTTCTTTCCATCACTACAACACTTTATACTCTACACCAGTGGTTCTTAAAGTGTGGTCCCCGGACCAGCAGTGTTTAAGTACCACTTGGGCTCCACCCCATACTTACTCAATCAAACTCAGTGGGTAGAGCCCAGCAATGCCTTTTTTTTTTTTTTTTTTTTTTTTTTTTTAAAACAAGCCCTCCTGGTCATTTTGATGCACACTCTAGTTTGTAAACCACTTTTCTAAAGTAGAAGGATTCTCTTCTGGGCTACCATAATGGTCTCTGCCTTCACTCTTGCTCTACACTTTTCAATCTTCACAATGTAGCCAGAAAGATCTTTTAGAAAGGAGAATCTGATGATGTCATATACCTGTTCCAACCACTTCCAATTTAAATCTGTAAGCTAAGTGCAATGAGAAGCTACCGAAAGTACATAAACTTCTAAGCATGGTTTACAGAACCTGCACAGTCCTTTACTTATTATTCGCCAATCCTCACCAACCTGACATCTTCTCTTCTTTTCTCTCTTGACATACTGGCCATGTCTTATCCCCCTACCTTGCCAAGAATCTCACACTTCAGCATTTTCTCACATGCAATTCCTTCATCCTGGCAAGTCATCCCTATCCTACTTGTTCTCTGCCACTTGTCCTCGTTAATTCCTACTCACCCACCACAGCTCCGCTTAATGGCCATTTTCTTTTCTTTTTTTTTTATTAGCCTCAGTTTCTGCATTTGTATTAATAGCCATTTTCTTAAGGATGTCTTCCCTCACTTGACAAAATCTCCGTATAATAAATTCTCATAGCACCACATACTAATTGGGAACTTACCAGATTTGTGTAATTATTTACTCAATGTCTGACTCTCCAAAAAAACTTGAGCCATGAGGGTAGGTACTATATCTGGTTTTGTTTCTCATTATTTCTCATGTGTTTAGCATACTGCCTAGCATATAAGAGATAAACATTTTTAAATAAATTGAGTATATAGATAATAGGCTTTTAGAATATAGCCTCTATGTTTCTACAACACAGAAATAAAGTAGTAAACAAATGCATTTTTCAAGTTGCCTGGAATTAGGAAAAAGAAGCCAAGGTTCAGTTTAAAACATAACAAATACAAACAAGAGAAAAAAAAAGCAGCAAGATGAAATCATTCAGACACCTACCCTGCCTTCTTTTTTCCTTTCTTCTTTATTTTTTTTAATTTGGTAATTAAACTGTAGGTGAAATTCACTAGGTTTATAATTACAGAACATTCAGCTCCACAACAAAGAAAACTATTTACTGTCCAGGAAAAATGAGGGGAAAATACAGTAGCCAGGAAAGTTGAACTAAGAATTTTGAATTCTTAAGTGAAGAAATAGAGAAGAAGAGAAAAGGAGGAGAAAGAGAAGGGAACAACTGGACCATGGGGTAGGAATTTATCCTGGTATGAAGCATGGAAATTAATCTCTTTCTAACAGGTAGTAGCAGCTGGTTAAGAAGAAAAGGGTGACCCTTGAACTTACCTCAGATAGAGAAAGCAGGTCGGGAGGCTGTAGGGAGAGAATAAAGATTTACAAAACAGAATGAAACTGAAGCTCATGGCTTCCCCAGCACCACTCTGCTGGATAGACAGATACTGTCCCATAGAGATAAAATAAAAAGAACTAACACGTCGAGTACACTGTATCATGTTGGAGACGGGAGCAGAGGGGGTTGGGGATGAACAGGACAGAATGATCTTAATCTATTTAAGATGAAATATATTTAATCTTGAAATCTTTAAAAAGTCTATATAACGTATTCACTTTTTTCTAGCCACCTCATATCAAAATTGCAGCGACATAAACAGGGATCAGTAAACTTTTTCTGCAAAGGGCCAGGTAGGAAATATTTTAGACTTTGTGGGCTTTATGGTCTCTGTTACAACTACTCAATTTACCTTCTGTAGCATAAAAACAGCAATAGACAGTATGTAAGTAGAAGAGCACGGCAGTGTTCCAACAAAACTTTATTTATAAAACAGGCCATGGGCCAGACTTCCTGATTTAGAGAATTCTACATTCAAAAATAGTTCTGTATTCTACAACCACTAATATGGTGAATTAACCAAATTATCTTTCTTCAAGTTATATTAATTCTGTTGCCAAAGTAAAAACAAACTGAAATATCTTTTAGATAAGTTCCTTGAATTTCTTTGTGACTCTGATATTGAACAGAATGCTTGGTAAATTAAAAGAAAAAGTATCCAATGTTTGTTGAATAAATCAAATGCTTTCCTATGAGAGATATGGGGCAATTTATAAAATAGAATATCCTGAAAACTCAGTAATGGTTGAGAAAGTTCTGGAATATGAAACATTCCAGAAAAACTCTAAGAAAAATTACCAAGACAAACTACTTACAATTATATAGTAGTTGTTATATATTTTATATATTTACATTTTATATATATTATGGCAAAAGCTAGGGACTTTAAAACCTAAAACTCTTCATTTTACTCAATTTTTAAGAAAATTATGGGAATTTGAGGAAAATTATAGGGTAAAATTCAATTGTAAACAGAATGGATATTTAAAAAATTTCTGATTTCATTAGAATACCTTAAATAACAGAATCAACTTCTATTAGTCTTACTTACGGCACTGGCAATTAGCAAGCAGCAATATGAGGCCCATATAAAAAAGAATATCACATGAATTAATTTTTATGTTAATCTATCTTCATTTCATCCATTTCTGAGGAAATTAAGACTATGTATATATGCTTGAGGAAACACTGATCTTATGTTTTCTTAATTCATACTAAGAGATTTTTTATAGTTTACTATATAGATAGTAAGGCCTCATGAATTGACTGCTACCATAGTTCTTCTGTTCTTTACTCAACATAAAAAAAAAGCTAACATACAAAAATAAAACAGACTTGTCAGAATGTGGACATCTTTGGCTTAAAGATATTTACTACAGCATTATTTTAATGGGGAACGTTAATAAAGTACTTACAATATAATTTCAATTACCCTAACTTAATTTATGTACAACATGAACAAATCTAATATATAAATTAACTAATATTTTTGCAGTTGTTACATTCTTTCTGGGAATATCATAGAAAAATATAGATATTCTCTAGCAGGAAACTATATAGAGTACTATATCTAATTATGTTCCTCATATGGTATTCTGTAGGATATAAAAAGTTGTAATTTTATATAGAGTTTGGGGAATGCAATTTAACATGCTAATGGGGCACTGTGACTCAATAAGAACACGCAAGAGAAAGGAGCATTCCCAATCTTACTTGACCACAGAACCTTTTGCACACAGAGCATCTTGGGCAGGGGAAGGGGGGGTGTTCCCTGGAATACATCTGTGGAATGCTTATGTAGCAAACTAGAATAAGGTGACACTGAATCATCTGGAAATGTTTCTCTATCAAAAAATCAAATTTAGAAAATCATCTACTCTATGCTTCATAGTTTTTCCAATAAATGATAATTATGATGTTAAATAACAGCACATGGAAAAACTCTAAATTTTATACAATAATGTCTAAGGATATTCTGTGCAATGGGTGGTGTCAACCATACTAATTTTTAAAAAACATATTGTGTTGAATGTTCAAAATATATGGTAGAACATTCATAAGCAATATCAGAGTCTTGGTTTCAGGTAGTTGAAGAAGTATATTACTTATTTTAAAATCACTTAATCAGCTATAATCCTACATGAAAAACCAGAATTCTGAATAGGAAAAAATGTGAATTCAGTTATTTTTTTAGAACAGATGATAAAACAAATTGACACCCTGAACATTTTTCAGTCATGTCAGAATCTAATTCAAAGTATCTACTGAATTATGAATTTTTATGGGAAAATTTAATGTTTTAGGATGAGTACTATTAGTATAGTAGCTTCAAGTTCACATTAAGTTATTTTTGTCTTAAAAATTTCTTCAGAGGTGCCCAAAGTCAGCTTATTTGCATCCAGATATTTATCAGTTAGGAAAAGGCATACGTTTGTTTTGGGAACTCAAAAGACACTGATATTAAAAAGGTCTATAGTATTATTTTCAGTAGTGACATTCCGTTTTTGGCCATTATGACCTCAAAAATTATCTGCTGCAACTGGCACTTCACATATCCCATTTCCTGCCCTCCACCCTCAAAATCTATATTGCATGCTATTAGAAAAGATTCTCTAGAACTCTACTTTGGTCATATAGCTCTTACTACTCACAGAATGAACATCCTTAGCTTGATCTCTTTGTCTTTCTATTATACCCACTTGGTAGAACCAACTACTATTAAATCTAAGGGCCCACCTTTCTCTAAGTTTGCACCCTGGCAGCTGAGATAAAACCACACAGTTACTCCATACTATATTTCTCAAGACAGCTTTTTCAAACCTATCCACATTCCTCAATTACCCAATCCCACCATACTACTGTTAGATTATCTCTTGATTCATAGAAAATGGACTCTAGTATCTCAATATTCTGATTACAAATTACTGCTTTGCATCCCTACATATTGTTCTCACAACCCTTTTAAGAGACAAGTGACTCTTCTGGGCAAGACCAATCTCTCTAACAATGACCCAGATCCCACACTTAATATTCAACGTAGGTGCTTCACTCCATTTCCACTGCTTGCTAACTCATTTCTGTACCTTCAACCTTCAACCTCTTCCCACTGGCATGTAAACATGTTCTTTTTCAAACCTGCCTTCATCCCAGCTTACTCTTACCTCTCTATTTCCTCTCCATCCATAGCCAATTATAGCATTCTCTGTGCTAATTTTCATTTCTTCTTCCTACAATTACTCATCTAGAATTGAATAAGATTTCTGGCTCTATTAGTTCACCAAAGCTGCTCTCTCCCAAATCACTAAGATAACCTCTTGTTGCTATATTCATTGGAGCTTTCAGGGCTCATCTTCACTGACTCCTTTTTTTTTTTTTTTTTTTTTTTTTTTTGAGACAGAGTTTCACTTTGTTGCCCAGGCTAGAGTGAGTGCTGTGGTGTCAGCCTAGCTCACAGCAACCTCAAACTCCTGGGTTCAAGCAATCCTACTGCCTTAGCCTCCCGAGTAGCTGGGACTACAGGCATGCATCACCATCCCCGGCTAATTTTTTCTATATATTAGTTGGCCAATTAATTTCTTTCTATTTATAGTAGAGACGGGGGGGTCTCGCTTTTGCTCAGGCTGGTTTCGAACTCCTGACCTTGAGCAATCCGCCCACCTCGGCCTCCCAGAGTGCTAGGATTACAGGCGTGAGCGACCGCGCCTGGCCTTCACTGACTCCTTATCAACAATTTACACTTTGTTTTCTCCCTTCTTAAAACACATTTCCATTCACCATACTCTTCAGGTTTTCCTCTTACCTCTTGACAACTCCCATCAGTCTCCTTTGGTGCACATCTTTTCCTTTCCCATATCATTGGGGCTCTGAGATCCTAGGCTCTTTCAATCATACATTATCACTTCCACTTTCTTGGCTTCAATTATCTGCTGACTCCCAAATCTTTATCTCAGCTCAGGCTTCTTTCGTAGACAACAGATCCATACTACCTAACTGCTTCTTAAATATCTTTTTTTGGATATCGAAGTAGACACCTCAAACCCCTTACGTCTAAAACTAAACCCCTGAAGAGCTTTCTCTCTCAGTGAATCTTACTATCATTTACTGAGATGTTCAAGGCAAAAAATTGGATGTTATCCTTTATTCCTCTACTCTCTAAGACAATGATTTTACTTCACAGCTTTCTCTCAAATCTATTCTTTTCCATTAATGCTACTGTTAGGGCTTAAAAGATTTTTTATAAAGGTGATAACTTTTTTTTTTTGAGACAGAGTCTTGCTCTGTTGCCCAGGCTAGAGTGCCATTGCATCAGCCTAGCTCACAGCAACCTCAAACTTCTGGGCTCAAGCAATCCTTCAGCCTCAGCCTCCCCAGTAGCTAGGACTAAATGGACTACAGGCATGTGCCACCACACTCAGCTAATTTTTTCTATTTTTGGTTGCCTAGCTAATTTTTTTCTATTTTTAGTTGAGATGGGGTCTCATTCTTGCTCAGGCTAGTCGACTTCTAATATCTAGGCATCTGTCAAGCCTCAGTTTAGATGTGACAATGTAGGAATCCTTGCCTAATTCCCTAAGTTCAGTTCAATTTCCCTCCTATGTACTCCCACAATCTATCTCTCTCTGTGATCACAGCTCTCATCCCATCCTTCTGCTGAAATTGCCAATTCATTTTTCTATCCCCCATGAGATAGTGAGCTCCATAAGAGCAAAAACCATGGCTTTAACCATTCTATCCCCTTAAAACACAAAATCCTACTTAAAACACAAAATATACTCTATTGAATAAATAAATGATGTAGGTCTTATTTTTTCACTTAGATGGAAAGGAAACTAAGAGCTGTAGGCATTCATTAAATATTTGTTGAACTAAGAACAGAATGGAATTGCATTTCTTCTTCCTCCTTTCCACGTTTATGCTTGATATATACAGCAGTTGAAATGTGGTGAAGTACAAATTTAAAAACTCCTATGAATTAAACTATGTCTGGACAGTTAATCTTAAAATGTACAAAAAAACAAGACATTCATGGTAGAAGCAAAACTTTTCATCAATAGAAATATTCCAAAATTTCATTACATACATTGTCCTAGAAATTTTTTTGAAAAGTCCTCTTGTTAAAAGTCTCTTACGTCACCACCAGTCACTAATTATTATGATGAAGAAAAACACATGAAATAATGAGTTTTACCATCATTTCTAACAGGGCAAAAAGAAGTATGAAATACCAAGAATAATGAGAAAAAAACACTTTAAGAAAACATTTAAAAATCAGGTAAATATAACAAATATTGCTATAAATATAACTCTATAAAAATAATGTCCTTGTTGATTGATTAAAAAAGAATGTTAAAAAATAAAGAAGGAAAGTTATCAGTAAAAGATAAATAAAACTTTAAGCAGAACAGGAAATAGTACTAGTAATTTTAAAAATGAGAAAGATGAAAAATAATTCTTTATATAACACTAAAAAGATTTAAATTTGAAAAAGTAGTAATTAGGCATCTTCCATCTTACTTTTCTAGAATGATTTCATATTTATTTAGTGGGGTAAAGAATCATGTTAAAATAAACTTTAGCATTATTTCTTAGGAAGACACAATGATTAAGAAACTGAAAGGACAAAATACGGTTCTGTTGTAAAATGAATTAATGTAAACTACCTTAGTAAACTGGAACAGCATGAAATGAGGATGACATAGAGAATTAAAAATGAAACTATACATTTTATTCTCCATTCATGACAGTCTTTACAAAATGAGTGCATTTTTTTAGATGAAGTGTTTAAAAATATCACTATCAGGCTTTTTCCCTTTTTTCCTGACATGTCATTTGTTATGTTATTTTTATTTATCCTGAGGGCAAGAAAGAAAGGTCATTCTTTTTAGTTTTGATTCATTTTTTATAATGTGGATTCTACTTGACCACCTTTAAAATTGTACTTATGGCATGTTAGATATTTGAAATTTTAATCATTACATGCTAGATATTATTGAAATAAGCATTTTAAAGTTATTCAGTTAAGTAATTCAATTTTTGAAGCCATAAAAATCATTATCCCATTAAAAGTCTAGAATTTACTGCTTTTAATATTTTAAGACCTGCTATTACTTATTTAGCTTTTAAATTAGTTTTATAAAAGGTAACAAAAATAAAGCCACCAATACTTTCCCAATCCCCAAAAAATACCTCTAAAAAAGACAATATAACAATGCAACCATATGATAAAATATCCTTAAATTGCCAAATGTAACCTGGCACTCTTCCGGTTAAGGAAGTAATTAATAAGCACTCCTACACTCTTAAATATCCTGCATTGTTCAGCACCTATCAATAAGCACAGTTGGAAATGCCGGCAACTACACTGTTCCTATGGTATTTTTGCTAGGTTCTAAAGGGTAACAGTCTCTTCCTAAGGTATCAAGGTCTGGTCAGTATAACTTAGTAAAGCACATAATTACTTGCCAAAGTAATTTTGATGTACATTCTGAATTAAGCATTACCTTAACAATGAATTGTATATTACTCTTACTTACTAAGCTATGGATTATCTGTGGAAAGGAATCCTAATCTTTATATTATCTGCAGAAATGAGCTCAATGTCTGATATGAAAAAAAACTACTCGGCCAGGTGCGGTGACTGACGCCTGTAATCCTAGCACTCTGGGAGGCCGAGGCAGGAGGATCGCTTGAGCTCAGTTTGAGACCAGCCTGAGCAAGAGTGAATTCCTATCTCTATTAAAAAGAGAAAAATTAATAAGGCATGGTGGCATGTGCCTGTAGTCCCAGCTACTCAGAAGGCTGAGGCAGGAGGATCACTTGAGCCCAGGAGTTTGAGGTTGCTGTGAGCTAGGCTGACACCACAGCACTCTAGCCTGCACAACAGAGTAAGACTCTAGTCTCAAAAAAAAAACAACAAAAAAACAACAACAACAACAAAAAAAACCTATTCAAGTTTTGATTTATCGAAAAAAATATACCACTCTTCAAATAATCAGAGTCTTAATGTGGGTTCCAAATGGCAACAGCTTGATAGTGGATATGAGCTTGATAATCTAGGATTATAATATGGGATAGCCTTTATCAATTCTGCAATGAGATAGTCTTTATTTCTTCTACATTGTCTCATCGTTATTAATTTATCAAGAGAATATGTATTAGCCTGTAGTACAGTAGTTAATTTTTAGTTACTTAGTCATATTTATCTGTCAAACTGTTTTTTGATTTTATACAGATCAAATGAAAAAGCAGATAATATAACTTTTATATTAATGATATATTTTAAAGAAGTTTTCTAATTCTCTACTAAACATATTTTTATTTGTTTGAAATCCTGGATAAATTAAGAAGTTGGGAAACATACTGGTACGTTTGGCAGCACCTAATTTCATGAGTTTCATACTAGGTGCCAAGAAATTAGGTTGTCCAAATTATTTTGGAAAACAAAACTGAATCAGCTTTCTTTTTCTACCTGTTATCGTATACTTGACTCAAGGCACCTACAATGAAACTTTAAAATTAATTAGAGAAGAACTTACCTAGGGATTTTGAAAAATAGTTTGCCATTTGTCCACTGTTGCAAGACTGTCGTTTATGTCTTTTTGTTGACATTTCTGTGGTCTTCCATGGTGGTCTTTTTCTTTTGTTCAAATTGCTAAGAACTTCAAAACTATCAGGATTCTTGTCAAAGTTAACACATTTACTTAATTTACTACTGTCAGGTTGGCCAGCAAATTTATCAGTTGAAGAACTATTTGCTTTAGCATTTTCTATTTCTTTAGATTGCTTTTTAAAAGAATTTTGCCTACCAGAATGAGATCTTAAAGTAAAGCGCTTTGATTCCTCTATCTGAGCCTGGTGATTACTTCCATTGTCAATAGATTCAGGAGAGTAAATGATTGTATTTAGCTTAAAAGTATTTCTGTGTTCAAGATAGTTGAGCTTCCTCAAAAATATTCTACAATCTTTTAAGGTTTTTGACCTCCAATTATCTGGACATACATTTCCTAGTCTTGGGCCCTTTTCCAAATCTTTTTGGCTGCAATTTATTCCATTCTCTTTTGCTTCTGATTTAAATTTATTCTCTAAACTAGCATCTATTTTGAAGTTAGGCATTGCCACTCTTTGTTGCAAAAAATCATCCTTGATCTCAGGTGGCAAAACACACTGATTATCTACTGTGCTTTTTCCTTGGAGTGGGATGTCAGCATTTGTTCCCCCCTCAGTCTTATTTAAAAATTGGTTCTGGCAGAAAAATCTTAAGTTCCTCCTTTTAGAGTTCCAACCAACTGTTCCATGGTTGTGCAGCTTTCCCTCTCTTCTCCACCTTTCATGATGCAACCTCTTAAACTCAGTCCTTTTTAATCTAGCTATTGCTAAATTACTTTTCATATTTAAGAGTGGAGAGCTAACCACTTTACGGAGTATATGCAACTTCTCTGCTGATTTTGAAGGAGAAGAGAGTGCAAATTTTTTAAAGTGCTTTCTGAAGGGGCTGGTATTAAAATCAGAATATTTCATCCCTAATTTGATTCCCTTAGTATTTATTACTTCCAAAGGATTTCGAGCATTTGCTTTTCTAACTAGTGAAAGAGACTGTGTTTCTGTTGTTTGCATAAACCAGGTACAGAGTTCATTCAAATCATACTTTTTTTGAAAAAGCATTTTTACTGGTGAAACTTCAAGTTCTAAAAGACAAGTTTCCAAAGGGCTTGCTATTTTGAAATGATCATTTTCAACGTGTTCTCTTTTTTTATGAACAAAATTTTCAGCTTCATCTCCACTTACTTTCACCCAAGTGTTTGTTATTTGCTCAAATCTATTGTTTAATTCCTCTAATAAGGAATCATTTGAAGTAGAAGTAGCCCACCACCTGAGCAGAGGGTTTGAGGAAATTATAGGATCCAAGGATACTTCAGAAATGGGTATTAATTTATCTTCCAAACACTTTTTTGCATTCCTTGAATATCTAGTTCTTGGGGTATCTTTTAAAGCTATTTTTGTCCTTGACTGTCTATGTTTTTCCTTCTGACTTTTACCTTTTTGCAAATGGAGTTTATATGACTTATGGAGCACAGCATTTCTATAAATAAATGAGCTAGAAGATGCTAATGAATGTAAGAAATGCAGAGATGGCTTTCTATCCCTAATAGAATGTCTCAAAGGTATAGGAGCAACCATACTTTGTGATCCATTCTTAAATATGTCGGCTTTAGTATGCCTTGTTTTATCCATCTTATTGCATTGTTGGTCATGCTTTTCTTCACGCAGCTTTTTTTCAAACATATTATTTTCTAAAGGAGGTAAGCAGCTGCTAATACTTACTTCTCTTTCCTGAGGTGAAATTCTATTAATAGTCACAGATATGCCAGAAATTTTCACTTTTGCGGGTCTACCAGGCTTCCTACTTATTGCCAAAGGCCTATGATTTGGTCGAATGATGTTCTTGGATGGCTGAGGTATCACAGACTTGTTCTTGATGGGTCTAATATATTCAAAGCTGGATCCCAAGATCTCATTTTCAGCAGTGAAGCTTGATACAGCACTTATTCTTTCACCCAAGTCAATTTTGTGTTCTCTAATATTTCTGAGACTATTATGTTCAGTTGGAAAATCAGCAACATTTTTGCTTAAAGACATAATATTGCTTATGTTTACACTTCCTTCAGAGACATGCCTTTTAGTTCTTCTTGACCTTCCATAAATAACAGTCACTGTAATACTTTTCTTATAAATACTTTCTTTTATGTCTGATAAGACAGATTGTGGGCTTTCCCTTCCAGCACTAAAAGAGTCATGCTGGCAAATGGTGATGTCTGTTATTTTAGGCTTTGGGGGTCTTCCAATTGGGCGCTTGATCTGTTTCACAACTTGGGGACCTATTTTTTTTGGTCTACCTGGTTTTCTTTTAAAAGATGAATCAATAGCACAGCTTGAACTGTTCTTAGGTTCTTCTTGTGGCTTATCACTATTTATATCTTCTATAAACATTGCAGAGGATTCTGTAGTTTCTTTTGCACAATTAAATTTATTTAGTTCCCTTTGAAGGATGTCAGTATGATCAGAAGTATAATGTTCAAAGTTAGCATTTTGGATATCCTCATTTGTTTCTGGCTTTTTTTCAATTACATGATGGGTTTTACGTTTTTCAGAAGGAAGATCAACATTTGATTGGGAAGTACCAACTGAAGTTAAAGTATATTTGACTCCTTCACTGCTTTTAACCTCAGATAAAAACATGAGTTTGATAGGGCTGGAATAGTTGGCAAAAGAAGAGCTTCTGATACCTTCATATTTTGTTGGCACATTTTCGACACGGGAACTCAAGCTACCCATATCTAAACTAGATGACTTTTTCAGATTGTCAAGTCTTTTGTTATTCAAATCTATTGTAGGCATATGCTGACTTTTGATATTGCTGGATGCTACCACAGATTTTGATAAACTCTGCTCTTTGCATGTCATTCGATTTAGAGTAAGAGTCATATTTTTCCCAGCATTTTGGTCTTTTCCATCAATTTCTATCATTCTCTTGGATGTTTTACATCCATCTGATAATGGCTGATTATTCCAAGATTTTTGGGCCATATTTATTGTATCTTCCAAACGCTCCACAACAACTTGTAAATTAGAATTCATTGCAATTTTGTTTAGATCTATATTGGGTGAGCTTTCAATTGGAATGTTTTTCATTTGCTCTTTTTCTTTTGTGGACTCAGATACTTTTTTGGCCTTAGGGGATTTTTTAAAAACATAATTATTTGTTACATATATAGAATACCATCCTGGAGGCACAATATTTCGTTTAGTTCTGTTCAAAAGTCCGGAAACATCACTTCTCAAAGGCATTTGAGTATTCTCTAATTTTGAATTCCCCCTAGGATTTTGCAAAAATTTTTTTTCAACTGCAGATTTCTCTTGTGACTTTCTTATGCTTATTTTCTCAGGTGAAGCTGTTTTTAAGCTTTCTGTAAATGCATCAAAAGCCAGGTTAGTTTCTAAACTAGGAAGAGGTAGTTGCAATGACTGTAATGCATAATTTGGTGAAAAGGCTGTTTCTGCATGATTTTTATCTTGAAGGCTTTTAGAATTTTGTAAAGAAGGCCCTTGGCAATGAAAGAATTCTTCCTTGTCTGATAAAAACCTCTCATCATTGTGAATCAATTTCCTTGAAATTTTTTCAGTGTGTTTTTTTCTTATAAAATTTTCACTAAGATTAGCAAGTTCCCTTTTTATCTGTAAAGACTGCCTTCTACACATGGGTGAATCAGAAGAGTTGTGCATTGCAAATAAGGTTTCCTGACGCTTTCGAAATCTTGTCTGAATAATTTTATTTTCTACCTTTTTATCATGTTGACTCAGTAATTCCATAAAACTGTAATCACTGGCCTTTGCATTATGCAAGAGAGAGGTTATTAAATCTCCTAATTTTAAGTCATTATCTGTATTACAATCACTGCTAGATAATTTTACAAGGTTTGCCAAATCTGTGGTTTCTATTGATTTTAATTTTTCATTTATGCGATCCATTAAATCTTGAAAAATTATAGCAGTTTCACCTTTTTCATGACTTGTAGTATAATTATTGCTGTCATCTGAGATCAGAGAATCAGAATTACTGGATTTTTTAGTTTTATGTATTTCACCTTCATGATCACCCTTGTTGCTGCTTATTTCTGCTGGTGTGAGAGATGGAGGCTGGTTAATGTTTGTTTCAAGTTTATTTTCTAAGGATGAAATCTCTGAGATGACATCTTTCAATCTTTCAAATCCTTCGGGTTCTACAGGTGATAATGGTGGGGGTGAGGGACTTCGAGATCTACAAACATCTTTAAGACTGACTGAAAGGTCACATACTTCCCTTGACAAAAGAGGACTAGGAAAGGCTGATGATGTAGAGTGAATGTTTGGTAACAGTCCAGAACAGCACCTGTGAGAATTACAACTATTTGCAATTCCTCTATTGACTACTGTCTTAATGTATCCAACAGTTACAGTTTGGCAAGATAAACAATGCAAATCTTTAATACAGACTGACAGAGGCTCTAAACCAGAGCTTTGTCTTTCATTTTGTATACACCCTCTTTCTGCCAGCCTATATTCACAACTACAGAACAGATCATGTAAATCATCTTCAATTAAAGACTTTTGAGATTCTGAAGCCACAACACATGATGTATTACAACAGCAAAGAGAAGCAGCATTCTGCTCTTGGACTAGAAATTTCAACATAGCCAAAACTTGTTGCTGGTGATGTATGCACAAAGATTCCAAAACTTTGCTTAATGCTGATTTTCCTTTTTCCATTTTAGTAGCTTCCTCTGATTTTGCATCAACAGTTGAACTAAAAATAAAAATCAAACAAAAAATGAATTACAGCAAAAATACCATTATAAGGAGTTATAATTTTAACAGAGTTTGAACAAAAGATATTTTGGTATTGCTGGACTCCTGACTCCCAGGGATCTGCAATAATGACTTCTCAATTCTTATTTAGCAAAAATATAATGAAGCACTGATGATAATTTCCTATGACAAAGTGTAAGAATCAAAGCAAAGGCCTATTTTTGCAATATAAAAGCTGATTATATATGATTACATTTAAATATTGATAATGTTTAATGTTTTGAAGATATTCATATTTTATGGGAAGTGCTTCAGGAGTTAAATTTTTGTAAAGTAGACATTTTATGTTATTTTGATAATTATCAGTCCATATGAGTGCAAATAAGGAAAATAAGATGTAAGAGTAAAATCTTATCTTTATTTAAAATAGGTATTTTTTCAAGGCAGTGAAAATGAAATTATTAATAAAAGAGAGCTTTGCATAGTCACCAGGAAAATTAAGGGATTTATGTTTCATATAAATAACAGAATGTCTTTTCTAATATTAAGCTGTAGGCATTAACTATTTAAGATTGAAGTCTATTTTTAATTGATTTTAAATACTAAAGTAATTACATGAAAACTAAAGGCATTACTTACCTAATTATTAAATCTCAAATGCTGGAAAATGTCCCCCTGCAGAAACTAATATAAATCTAACTTTAAGACCCAGGATTGCTTTATCAACCAATATAGAAGTCTACAAAAAATTTTTAATCCAATACCAGTACCAAGAAGCATAAAATATATTTAAAGAATTCTGTTTCAGAAAAGTATCTATTTTAATTAAACATATCACCAAACTCTGTACATGAAAATAGCCTTTCACTTGTGATTCGTTACATTTGTTTGTTGTTGTTAATAGTTTTCGGTTTACAGAAATTTTATTTAGGATTGGAATTGGGATATGCTAATTATGAATTGCTACTGAAGAATGTATTTTGTTTAAATAAGGGATTATTGTGTTGATGCACATTAAAAATGAAAGCATTTTCTTTTAAAACAAAAAGTGGAATATTTTTATTCTGTTGCTTAAAACTGACATAACCTGTTTCACATAAGTATGTAATATTTTATTTACATAAAAATTAGTTATTTGAATAGCAAAAATATGAAAGCAAATTTTAAACATTTGATCAAAATTTCTGCAAAGTAGGTAACTTTACTAGACTCAATGTTTCACTAAAACTAGTATGAGATTTGAAATTAAGCTATCAAAGTGAGAAGAGATGTGAAATTAAAACAAAACTTTTTAAGTCCACTGCTGCTTCTAGACAGATGAAGACAGGACATGACCCCAGTAATCCTTTCCTTTCTGAAAATAAGTTTTTGTAAATTTTGTCATGGTTAGGAGTATAAAATGATAGAACTGATTCCTAGGATTCAATTAGATAGTTCGAGTATGTATATATATATATATATAGATAGCAAAGGCAAGAGAGCAAATTACTATCAAATATTAAGATATAATTATATTCTTTTCCAGCAAATTAAAAGTGATAATTTTCACATAAGCAAAAGAAAACCCAAAGATGTTGTGACAGACACCCTTCAATAGTTTCTAAAGTGATATTATGGCCTGTTAAACATATTTAACTAATAGTTAAAGAGAATTTACATGTTTCTCAGAAAAATGTTGTATTGTATTTTAAAGATTAATATCCTTTTATAACTGTTCCTAAAATGCTCAAAGGCTTTTATTCTGTTAATAAAGGTATGAAGTAGAAATAATCAAAACTAATAACTAGTGTTAAGTATTCTCAATAATGTTATAATTTCAATTTGATTAAATTCACAAAATTATGAACATTATGATTTTTATATCTTTTTTGACATTATAAATAAATTTTTACTTTAAAAGTTTTCTTCTTGAGTTTATTACTTTCCAAAATACCACAGTGGTCAGTAATTCCCATCTAATGCTATATGGAGAACAGCTTCATAAAGATACCAATTAGATATTCAGATATTAGATTATATCTTACATATCAGTTATTAGATAACTAAAGTTCTCAAATTATAGAACTCCATGATATGCTTATTTGGCTTCAAATTATTTCTTTTCTGTATTTCTTGCATGTTAGAATCTCAAAGAAAAGCCTAAGATATGAATAAACAATAGTTGAATACACATGAAAGTCTCTAATCTAGAATTTATTCTGGAATGATTTTATAAAGGTTCTAAAATTATATACTTCATAGATCCTTTGTGTATTTTTAATTTCAATTTGTTTTCTAACCTTTTCCTGTTTGATTCATAAACCAAAACATCTTTATTTTTTGGTGTTACTATCCATTTTGCCCATTAAAAGCTTGTTGAAATAGTTCTTCAGAAAAAGCCAATTTCTAATAGTAATTTTAATAAAACTGCCTAGAATGAATCAAAGAAGTCAGTGTAGCCAGGTTTTTTTCTTTGTTTTTCTTTTTTTTCTTTTACTGAATGAGTAAATCAATCACACACCAACAGTGTTGTAAATTTAAGTGCAAAAGCATTGAAGTGCTTTACTACAAATTACAACCTAGAAACACGTTAACTGAACAATTAAAATTCATACAATCAGATTTAGATATATAACAACACAAAGTAGGAACAGAATTACAGTACATTTACAACACAAGACAGATACATGAATTCATTAGAAAATATTGTAATAAATAATTCATGAATTATAGTGCAATTGATTTATGCATAAATAACTAATTGCCTAACAATCAGTTTATATTAACAAAATCTGTCAAAAATCAAGGCAGCCACAGAGTTTTACTAAATTACTGCGACAATGGAAATACTGCAATTAAAAAACAAATACAAGTATTTGTACTGTAAACAACTAAAAAAAATCAGTCTCACTAAAGTTAGTATACAATTTAATATAAAATTGTCATTAGCTACCAGAAATGGTTTAAACAACTTTACTGAGCAGTAGTTTTCTAAAAACAGAGGCACTGTTTTTTTTCCTTCTTTTTTTTTAAAATATAAAATACTTGAGGAACATTCAAATAAGTAGAAAGCACATAAGGGTTGCTTTCACCTTCATTAGAAGTCTGCTGAAACTGGATTTTTCAGAAAATTGTCAATTAATAAATAGTAACTGGTAACTAAATTTATAAAGTACTTTGAAAGTTTAACATAAAGAACAACTTATAGAATCACTGGGGAGAAGGGGAACCCATAAATTTCCCTGCCTTTCCTAGTTTGTATAATCAAAAGTTAACTCAATAATAGAAACATTTTGTTTCTTTTAAAAGTTATGGGTTGAACATTACCTATAAACTATCAAAAAATATTTTAATTTACTATTTCTGACCAAAAATAAATAATACAAGTACTAAAATGCTGCAAATTAACTATAATATTACCTATAAAACTACTGATCACTGTGAAGTCAATAGCAAAATGATCCCTGATTTATGAATCCTGTAGTTTTTGGTCAGGTCATCTTTTAAATGATACAAAAGTGTTCTGTAAGTTTCCCTTTACTATAAACTTCTCAATCAATTTATTAATGTAAATATAGTGTGAGGAATAAAAAAGCTCAATACAATATAAATATTATGTAATGCATTCAAGCCCCCAAAGTTTTGCAAGTAAAATTCTGTATAAAGAGGTCAATAAAATTGTTCTGAAACATTTACTTTATCTTTAACTTTGTTTTTCAATGGGGGAAGGGGGAAATATATTAAATAATCCAAGTTCTGACCCTCACAAAATATGGCTTAATTTTTTAAAAAGAAAGATGACCCTGACATCTGCTGTTCTGTAATCTATTATGTATATTTTCTTGGGGGGCAAAAAAAGAGCAAGAGGATTCATACCCTAGTATGCAGGTAACATTAATAGCTGAAGAGGGTTCAGTATAGATCTCAGAGACCAAATAACTGCTTGGTTGTGTGTAGCTTCTCTTCAGTTTCTTTAAACATATGTAAGCAGTTTTTAAATGTAATAGCTGAAAATCTCTTTAGTAGTACATGTATATGCAATTATTAAATACACACAAACACAAGTGTAAAAACACAAGTATTTGACAAGGTGCACTTATTTTTAAAATTCAGCTATAAGTATTCCTTTTGGACTTATGAAAACTGGCTTAGAAAAATGACCAGAACCTGAATTTTAACAGAAAAGGGGCGCTCAGAGAATTCTGAATATATAAAGCAAATCCCCATTCTTTTTATGGAGGCACATGCTTTATAAAATATTTTACCACTAAAACTGTGTACTCCATAAATCCAACATGGATACTTTGACCCATATTTTAAAACTGCTATATAAAATTACTGGTCTCTCTTATGAGTCTAGTAAAAGTTAAAATGCACTGCCCAGCTTCTAACTACCCAATTAGTAGAGAGTTTACATTACTGAAAGTTCAAAACAGCTTCAGTGTTAAACATCTGTAAATATATTCAAGACCCTGAACAAACTGCAAATTTGGTTATTAGCAAAATGATAATGTATCGCCCACCAAAATGAAATCTGTAATTCATTTTGATAAACTGAAAATGTTTTGAAATGTCACAGCAGCAAATATATTAAAGTTACACTGAGGTTTTTCAATAGGAGTGTATCACAATCCTTAAAATTTAAAGTAGTCATAACATCAACTAACCAGCACATTTAAACCAAAATGATCATTCTCAAGCTTTTTCTGTGCACATCATAAACATGCTCTAAGTTGCATTCCAACTTTCTTTTCTAACCTTACACATTAGCTTATTTTTCAAATGAAAAACAAAATTAAATTATTTTAATAAATTTAAAATTTTTTTGTTCTTAGTATTCCATCTTATATTAAAAGATTCTATAGCTGCTGGGGTTAACTATGCGTCAGTTTTTTTTTTAAAGTATATACCTTATAAACCCCAACTTCCTGCTAAATCAACTATTAAATGATAAATATTAAATTTCATTATACATATCCTTTAAGGTTTTCTCTTCTCTTCCTGGTGGATGCACTGGAGTGCATTTTGTATTTCATAGAATGCACTGTAGTGTAATAATACTGTATATATTAATTTTTCTTAGTATGGAGATAGCTGTCTATTTAACTTTGATTGGTTGTTTGACATACTTACTATAACTGTAAGTATGTTATATAAAATGTTTGCAAACTATTAATATCATATTTCTATTATAAGATGGTTCAACTGAATGGCTGGAATGGTCTTTCACCAATAAAAATGGTTCACTTGACAATTACTTGTTTTCTCACAACGCTTTATGCTATTGACTACTAAAGAAAACCTGAATCTTTTTCACCTATTTATACAAGGATTAAATACAAACTATCAGAATTAAGTAAGCAACTATATAATTCTGTCCACAGTGAAAACCCTGAATAAAACTTTTTTTTCAAAAGGCATGTAAGTGGTTTTTGAACTGTAAAATTTCATGTCTCCTGTCAGAGTGAGCATTTGTAATTCCCACATGTGTGTATATAGACACACAAATACACACCTGTGCACATACACACACACGCAAACACACACACACATACACACAAACATTTTTCCTAACAAGTAATCTACACAGGCTTGCTGCTGTTTTTGCAGCTGCCAGTCCCTGAATCTGTCATATTATATAACCCAGTGTCTGGTAATCGTAGTTTCTTCTTCGGAGGAGTCTTCAGTGTTCCAGATCTTTCTTTTACCTTGTATTCTAAAGTGCTGTGAGGTACCCCATAAATTCCTTGTGCTTTGGAAACACTCATTTTTCCACTCATTACCATTGCAATTGCCTCTTCCATTATTTCATGATCATATTGCCGATAGCGGCCACGTTTTTTCCTGGGCTGCTTATTATCTTTTCGATCCAATCCATCTTCAGTATTTTCAGAGGTTCCATCAACTGTTCCATTTTTAGAATTAAGACACAAAGGAGAGAGGTCCCCATGTAGAAAGTAAGAGTCAACACTTGAGTGAGTTACAGGCCCAGAACATTCTATTTTGTTCTGTTTAGGGAGTATATTTTTCAGTTTTTGGAGAGCTGATCCTTCTAGGACTGAAGAGGTTTTGGAAACTTGATACATAACATCCAGCAGACCAGAACCATCAGGTTGTGATTTTGAAACAGAACTTACTCGTAGCTGAGGAATTTTTAACTGTACAGTAGGATTTGAAGTTTCATATTGTAGGCTTTCATTTTTCTCTTTAAATTGAGTAACCATTTTCTGTAGAGTTAACTGATGGAGGTAAGTGGAAGCTGTTGGGAATTTTAATTCTGAGGTTTCAAGTAGATTTAGTTTACTTTTTTCTGTGCGCTCTGCTTGAGCTCTTGCCCACAAGGCTACTTTTTGCAGCACTGCACACGTTTCTTTACTGTCTTTATATGAGTAACTATCATTGAAATCTCGAGTTTTGTTTTTAAAAGATGCAGGCTTCCCTGCTGGTAAGGCTTCTAAGTGGAGAAGTAAAGTTTTTTGAGGTATGCCATAAAGTATGCCTGCTTTATTTATGTCCAGTGCTCCAGACTGAATGTCTTTCAAAGCTTTTGAGAGCAAACCATCTGCAAACTCAGCACTTCTTTCCACATAGTCCTCTCTGTTTCTGTGTAGTCTCCTGGATGGATGGAATGAAACGATGGTAAACTGATGCATGAGAGACTCTCACACAGCTATGGAAGGGAAGGGTCCACTCCTTTATTATACTCCTTGCTTAGGTAACATCACTGCTTATGACACTTTTAAGTCTGTGAGGTGTGGTAGTTACTCCTTATCAAAGCAAACGCTACAGTCCTGGTAGGACAATGTGTCAATGATACGGTGGCCTCAACGGGCAGACCTTCCAAGAACATAAAATCCTAACTCAGTATTTATAAAAATATTCTCATGATGTTGCTATTCCTCTGACAGATGCTTGCAGAGCAACACTTATAATTTTTATTTGCACAATTAGAGTTCCTTTATAAAAAATACCCAAATCCTAAAGGAGTTTTTGTTAGTAGAAACGTGACGTTACCGCTAAACAAGTAATAAAAGAGTCAACCCATTTAAAGGAAATTTGTAGCAGCAAGAATATTTCCAAACACAAACATCCCATATTTTTACAAGACTAATTTTTCTCTAGACAAAAACTTAAAATGTGAAACAGATAAGTTATATCTGAAGTAGTTATATTTGGATAAAATAATTTATTTTGAGATATTATAAATGTTATTTCTATTTCAAATGTATCATTGTAACTTTCAAAGTTTCTCAACAGAAAGCTTACTATACTTTATGACTCAAAACTACTATAGCCTTAGTTGAAACAAATTACACTCTACATCTAAGATTTAAATGTGACAAAAAAGCTTCCTATATAGTTAATGGGAAGATGCAAAAGTTATAAAAAAATCCAAATATCCAACAGAACAGCATTTCACTACTAATTATTTATTTAAATTAATGACAATTTTCAAAAGATGAAAGGACTTTTTGTGGTGATTACTAGATATATTAAATCATTTGCCACCACATCTAAACACAAGGAAAAAATGTAAACACTATAAACTAGCTTTAAGAATCAGTAAATATAGTACTCTCAGAATTTCATTGTTTAAAAAAATTAAATATTAGATTACATATTTCCCTTAAAATTGCCTCCTGAATATTTAATTTAAAACTCTTTCACTCGTCCTGCTTCTTAGTTTGTATTCTATGATTAAGTTGGTAGTTCATTTTAGTAACATGAACTAAAGTTTGGTGATTGTTCTGATAACTTTTCTTTAACAGAAAGAATAAAAAAGAAAGAGAAAGGACAAATGAAAGGTATGAGAGAGACACACTCATGAGTGACAAAAATTCTGGAGGAAAACTATGTTATGTCAATACTACTTGGAATAGTATTAAGAGTTCTCTGTAGAGATAATTTTAAATTATATTTCCTAGATATTGCTTACCCAGCCATTGAATTTTCAGAAGAAGGATCACATATGGATGACTCTTCAGATTTTATGCTGGTTTTCTTTGTAGAGAGATCTAACACTCCATCCCCTATAATTTTTGCAAGAGAAAAAACTTTATAGTTGTAACAGATAGGCAATCCTTATATTTTAACATTTTGTATTTTGCTGATCTACTTATTCATGATCTAAATATTAACACTTGTATTTGATATGTGGCCCATTACTTTCTCATCTTACATGGTTTTAGCAATAGGAAATGACTGGGAAGGCACTATATAGGAAAAAAAAAGAACAGAGGAGGAGCTGGCATTGCCAGGTGCTATAAAAGAAATTAACAGACTATATAATATAAAATCTGTTTAAAAATCAACTCTTGGTCATCTCTCCCACCACTTTGTAGTAAACAGCCATTTGACTGCTCATTTATGACTGTTTTCTATTAAAGGCTGCCCAGATAATGCTTGAGGAAGGTAAGAGTGATGTAAGGTGCACAAAACAGAGAGAATAGAAAATGTGATGACATATAAGAGAACTGAATAATTAGCATTTATTAGAACTAGTAATATTTGGCACATATACTTTAGGTAAACAGTGACTCTATGTATAACCAATGTATTTTCTAGAATGCAGTGTAAAATTTTACTGTATTAAATTATTGAAATGTACAATAGTTGAATCATTGACTATATCATGTATTATGGTTATATATATGACTGGATAAAGACATATAACGTTAGAAAAAATAACCTGTTATAAAACTGCCTAAGCACTTGTTATTAAAATGTAGTTATTATTATTATTATGAATTTACATAAATGAAACCACAATGATTTTTAAAATTTATAAATAAAAAAAATTAGCTGGGCATGGTGGTATGTGCCTGTAGCTCTAGCTACTCAGGAGGAGCTGGGAGGATCGCCTGAGCCCAGGAGTTTGAGGTTACAGTGACCAATGATTGTACCACTGCACTCTAGCCTGACAGACAGAGCAAGACCCTGTCTCTCAGATAGACAGACAGACAGACAGACAGAATATATGTTTTCACTGGCAGAAAAAATGCTGAAAATTTTACCTATAAGAAAGAAATTATTATAAGAAAATGTTTAAAAATATACTAAGAAATTAACTGAGGTTAAGAAAATTAAACAGGGTTTTACTGTTACCTTATTAATCTATGTAACACTTAAGTGCCTGGGAAGATACAAAGATGAAAAAACAAAACAAAACATCCTACCCATAACCCTCCTGTGTAGAACTCAATAATAATTTATTGAGCGCTTACTATATACACTATTTTAGGCATTAGGAGAGCAGCAGTTATAAAAAAAAAAGTCACATAAAGGTCCTATTCTTATAGTGCTTAGGATCCAGTAAGATAATTCATACACCACCTGCACCACCACCACAGCCACCAATTATGATATCGATACTTAGGAAAATAATGCAAAATAAGCTGATAGAGTAATGAAGCTAGAGTGGAGGAGGCTACTGTTTTATGTAGTGTTATCAGTGTAGGCCTCTTTGATTTGAACAGGGTCCTGAACAAGATGAGGGTCACTAATCAAGCACATATATTGGGGAAAGCTTCTAGGAAAAAGTTTGTACAAAGGCTGTGATATGAAATCATATCTGGAATGTATGAGGAACAGCAAAGAGGCCAAGGATGGCTGAAGTGGCATTAAGCCAGGCTGGGATGAGATTAGAAATGCTGTAGGAAAAGGTCACACAGGGCCATGTGAGCCATGGTAAAAACTCTGAATTTTATTTTGAGAGGCAGAAGCCACTGAAGGATTCTAAACAGAAGACTGCCATGGTTTTAACGGGTCAATATGTTGTGAGGAGAATGGACTGAAAGGGGCTAAAGGTGGAACTGGGAAACCTGCTGGGAAAGTGCCATGCTATTTCTAATCTCTGGGCTTTCCTAGTTGCAGTTGGTTTCCTTTGCCTAGAAGATTCCTACCCCTGTCCTCCTTCTACCCCTGCATTCATCCTAATTCTCACCAAATCTTATTCATCATTCATGACACAACCTGGACTTGATTGATCATCATTTTCCTAGGTTCCCATACTAGCAAAACGTACCTATATTATTAAGCATCTAGGCTATATTCTAGTTGCCAATATACTTACCAGTGTTAGCCACATGCTATAAACTATCGGAAGGCAGAGACTATGTATATTTTATTCATCAATACATCCCCACTGCCTAGAATAATGTCTGGTATAGCATACTATTAATATAAGTGTTCAATAAATGTTTGTGGAATAGAATTTCAAAGAACTGGAGAAAATGCAGTATGGCCAGAGGTTAGAATGCCTAGATTAGAAGGGTAAGGGGAGACTAGAGAGGCAAACTACCTGACACATAGTACCTTAACAAAATTGTTAAAGGAAGTATCTTGCCCCAGTTTATCCATCCATCCTAATTTTATGCTTAGTCTGCAGCTAATCTCAAACCTCACATTTCTCATGTATCTAACCACTTGCAGCTCTTCAAACATGCTATGCAGTGTCATATCTATCATATTGCAGTGCACCATTCCCTCTGCCTAGAATGCTCTTTTCACCTATCCGACTTGTCAAACTTCCACTCATCCTTAAAGATCCAGGTCCCCTCAAACAGAAACTGCTTATTGTCTCCCTGTGTCAACGGCATCCTGTAATCACTCACAACACTATCATGCAATTACTGATTTATGTATCTTTTTCTTCCATCAGATTGAATTCTTCAAGGTCCGAGATCTTGACTTACTCATCTGTATTTCAATAAACATTAGTAGAATACTAAAACCTACTAAAAGAAGAAATATTGTCTTTTCTTTTACTCTCATTTCTTTTTTAGAAATCAAAATTTTACTATTTTGAGAACTTATAAGACTATCTTCTTCAAGAAATGATTACTTGTTTATCATTGTATTCACTAATTTTGATTTTGCTCATGTTTTATGTACAGTTTATAGCATATAAAACACTTTTGCTAATTCAGTTACTCTTAACTTCAGAAATTAATGAAATTTCTTCAATTCTAAATCTTCTAGACTTTTGATATGCTTGACTTAAAATTAATTATTTCACAAAGTACAAGTAATAAAAGGAGGTACAGGGAATCACTTCTTTCTCTCCTTTACATAAACTATGTAAACTAAGCTGGAGCTCTCTACTTAGGGCAATAAAAGTTTCTTTTCCTTTTTGGACCACTACTAAACAAAGCCCTAGTTATAGATAATTTTAATCTGGATGAGCTAGACATAGCCCTGTTCCATCTTTAAAGGACTTACCCAAATTAGGTCTATATTTCTGATTCTCTTTAGGAAATGTAAACAATAACCTGGTGGGAAATGTTGTATCTCTTTCTTTCTACAATCCTTTCTACAATCTCTTTCTACAATCCTTTCTTCATATCTATGCTAAAAGTTTTGTTCTAAGAGGATTTGATAACTAAAATAACACATTATAGTTTGTATTTAGTGAAAATGAAAAAAAATACTCCTGGAATATAACTGTCATATTAAAATTCTCTCATCAATGAACATTTACATAGTAAACACAAGATACATAAATATGTAAGTAAATAGTTCTAGTATGTATTAAGGATTTTTAGATAAATCTTAGTTATCTATAGAAAATCTCACCTTTTGTTAGTGGTATTAACCACCTACACTAAAAGTATTTTGCTGGTATCATGATCCCTTTTTCTATCATAAAGCCTGTAGCTCAAGAGCTGGAAAAATCAAAATAAGGTACCCCTAGAATTGTCTGAATTAGAAAAGCAAAAACTAAGAAAAGGGGAGAGATAGGTTGGGAAGGATGAGGAAAAAGAAAGGTCAGGAATGGGGGTGAAAGATATTTTCTTGCTCTTGCTGATGATTTATATTTAGCTACATGGAGATTAGATCATTCCTTTGCAATGGAGATAGCATATAACTAGGTTATTTTGTGTGTATTTTTCTAAGGTACTAATAATTAATTCAGTGGATAAAAACTAAGTACTTATTATGCTATTATAGTGTTATGTAAACTGAGTAGATGGGGGTAGGTAATTAATTCATGTTCACCAGTGCATTCTCTGCATCCTATCTTATATTGTAATTTATTTCCCATTCACCTATTGGTTGGTGTCTAGGTTGTCTTAGTTTTTCACTGTCACAAACAATGCTGAAATGAACATACTCTCAATGCTTCTTTGTGTTCATGTATAATAATTTCTCTAAGATAGACTCCTAGAAGTGAAAATGTTATACAATGGAATATGTACATTTTTCAACTTTCGTAGATATTACCAAATTTTCCCACATCCTTGAAAACACTTGGTGTTATTGAGATTATTAATGTTTGATGAATAAAAAGTAAACTGCAGGATTAAATGAACAAAAGAGTCCATACCATTTAGTATGGTATTTATGTGAATTTTTAAAGCACAAAAAATTATTTTGTTTATAGATACATAAATAACAGGGTATCCTGTTAAACTTGAATTCTTATCAGTCTGAAAGGTATGAATCACATGATAGCATGGTTAAGAGTCTTTTCCTATATTTAAGTGCTTACAAAATTTCCTCTATGAACTGACAGTATAACTATGCTAATTTTTTGATAAGGTTGTTCATCTTTTACTTTTCAATTTTTTTGTAATTCTTAATGGATTAGAATATTAGTCCTTTATTTTGTAATATGAGTTGTAAGTATTTTTTCCCAGATTGGCATTGTCTTTTGATTTTTCTATTGGTACTTTCTTCTCTGTCATGAAGAAGTTTCTTATTTTATATCAGAATTTATCACTTTCTTGTTGTTAAGGTGATCTTCTAAGCTAAGACACAAATGATGGAAAGGGGCAAGCCAAAGAACCAACATGAATGTCTGAAAGCAGAGTGATCCAGGTAAGGGGATCAGCAACAGTGAAGTATCCTGAAGTGGAATAAGCTAGGTTTAAGTGTCAGAAGTAAACAAACAGATAGTGTGACTTGTACCTACTAAGCCTGTAAGAAAGGGAAAGGAATAAGTCCAGAGAGGAAGGCAAGGAATAGATCTTAGTAGTGCTTGGTAAATCACAGAAAGAAATTAAAATTTTGTCCTTAATGTAACAGAAAACTAAGAGGAAGATTTTTAATATAGAATATCAGCTTTTTTAATGCAACGTAACTCTAAGAACCCTATTTTGGCACAAGGTTATAAGGTAGATATTATGAAAATTATCTCTTTAGGAAAAGAATACATGGGGAAATTTATAAGAAAAAAGAAAAATCTCAATGATTGTCATTTGGAAACCCATGTGGTGGGTGGCCAAAACTTTCTGAGTACTAAGTTCTGAGTACTTATGATGTCATAAGTAAAAAATTCTACACATAAGTACTTAACATAAATTTTGTTTCATCTATAAAATTATTTAAAATATTGTATAAAATTACCTTCACACTATGTATAGAAGGACTATATGAAACAAATGAATTTTGTGTTTAGACTTAGGTCTCATTCCCAAGATATCTCATTATGGATATGCAAATATTCCAAAATCCAAAAAAATCTGAAATCCAAAATACTTTTGGTCCCAAGCCTTTTGGACAAGGGATATTCAACCTGTATGACAAATTGTTTGGAAAACACAGAATGGCTACAAAGGACGTTGATTTCTTTTTTGTTCTTTACATATTTAATTACATTAAAGTGACATTTTAGCTGGTAACATTTATGGACCTTTTGAATTTAAAGTGCATGACTTTTTATTTGTAAAGATTTTCTTTATGAAATAGAAAAAAGAAAAATCCAGCTTATACATGCCATAACAATTATACTGCTTGACACTCTATAATCTATGGAAAAAGCTTTTAATAATCTCTTGATTTTAAGTGAGACGGCGTCTTGCTCTTGCTCAGGCTGGTCTCAAACTCCTGAGCTCAAAGGGATCCTCACGCCTTGGCCTCCCTGAGTGCTAGGATTACAGGCATGAGCCACCACAACTGGCCTGGGCCCCAAATTTTTAAAATTTGTACAGTAACTATTTAAAATATGGGTTCATACAGTTCATACTTTTCATCATTGCTAAGGAAACTCTTCCAAAGTGTATATTGTTTAATAAGATGTTGGCGGGGAAGTCATCATGATCAGTAAGACATTTAAAAATTATTTATAACATCTTTATTTTACAACCTTAAAAATTTTAATTTATATAAAAATTAGTACATACAATGTATTAGTGGGTACAGACATACACACATGTGCAGGCACACAGACATCAAAGAGCATGTGCTCCATTTTTCTTTGTTTGGTATGCAAATAGGCAAATTTCAAGAAATTAACAATCCACACCACAGCAGAATGGTTTTATGAAAGAAAATCTGATCCTGTCACTCTCTGCTCAAAACAATCTAGTAGCTTTCTGTTGCCCCAAGAAAAGTCAAAGTCCTTAATATTTCATGGCTTTCTCATCATTTGGTTCCTATTTCTTTGGCTTCCTCTATCATCATTTTCCCCCTTGTTCTCTATACTATGAACCACACTAAATTAAATGATTTCTGTCCCAAAGCAAGAATACTGGGATCACATACAACAAAAAGTCATTCAAAAAATTAAAATTATGAAGATGATTATTTACAGACTTACATCCACTATCATTACTCTTTCCAACCTCAGGATGGTCACATATTTCTGCACTTTGCCCAGAATATCATAATAACTTAAATAATTTACATTACTTGTGTTCTATTATATGTACACTTAGATCTATCTTACTACTTAAATTTACAGAATCACAGACTCTAAGGACTAGAAATTAACTTTTAAAATGCCATCTATTTTAACTACTCATCTGATGTTTTTGAATATCTCCAATGATGAGGCAATCTAATCAAGAAATCATTTTCCTTTCTATTTTAAGAAATGTGCAGTCTGTAGAAATATTCTTTCTTATACCAATCTGAAAACTGTTTCCCTCTAACTTCTAGCTAGTGATCCTAATTCTAATCAATGGCCCATTCAGAGAAAGCCCAGTACTACTTTCGTGTAATAAATAGCTGTACAAATACTTACAGATCACTATCATGTTACTTCTAAGGCTTCTCTTCTGTGATGGTAAGGAATGGGAGGTGGAGAGTATGGAGAGACTAGTGTTTGAGTATCTTTTATGAGTTTGTTACTATATATTTAATTCTCACATTGCTTCAGTGATTTTGTTATTATTATTGACAAACTATAAAAACAGAAATTAAAGTTCTGATAGATAAAGTTACTTGTTAAGTAACTTAAGTAACAGAGCTGGGATTTCAACCACAGGTATATGTCACATACCAAAGCCTATGTTCTAGTCTCTTTAGAACCTCCCAAATGGAGAGGAGATATAAGGGAGTATAAAGCAAGTAAAAACAAATTAAAAATTCTAAACATCCTCTGCTTTCCAATTTCCAAAATTCTATATACTGAATTTTTTCCCTTAGGCCTTATATTGTAGTTATCGTTGATATTTCTTTCTCTGTTTTATAGCTTATCTAACCATTATCTTAATATTTCTAAGATATTTCCATATAAACTCATGCAACCTGAAATTAGGGATCAAAAAGGTAAAAATTATTCCCACATTTCAGCCCTTAGAGGGGCTGAAAATTTAGAGAGTTTATTAACCTGTTCAACACATTTAAAGGACTATCTTCTTCAAACACTGAGTACGGCACTCTTCTTTAGAGCTTGAACTAAATACCACTGCCTTTTGGGATCATATCTGATAGCTGATTTTTTTATGGCTTCGAGGACTAACAACACTATCCCTAATCCATGTTAACAAAAGGTGCTTATTCTCTCTCTTCCAGACAAACCTTATTTAGCATCTTAAATTAATGCTTAAAAGACTCTTCTTGACTTCCCCTGTGAAGTTATGGTTCTCCTTTGATTAAACTGTCTTAGACAAGTCCAACTGGCCTTCATCATGAAAGGCTTTTATAAAAAATGTGTCTCTATATAGTTAATTAAATAATTACATTACATTTATCATATGTATTAACTTTCCTTTGGTTCCCAGTTACATCATAAACAATGGGAAGGTAAATCATCTATATTATTTCTGACCTAAGTTCAAAAAACTGAACAGCAAGTACATAATTAATGTTTTCAGCTATAAAAATAATTTTTCTCATAAACATCTTACTAGTATCCTTTATTTTTAAGTTGTTTGTTTGGATTCTCTTACAATACACTTTATTGTGAAAAGCAATGGGAACAACTCAAATTCCTCTTTTATAAACAATTAAAGATGCAATACAAAAAAAGCTCTAAATTTGCATTTCTTTATAGTCCATATTATATAGACAAATTAAGTGATATTATATCTAAAATAAATTTTCCTATGAATATAAAAAGTTCTATATATATTTAAGGATATTAAAACATACAATTATATATCATATGCACAAAATAATTCTTACCTTGCTGAGTACTTTGTTCTTGCATTCGATTCACAGTGAGGTCTAAGGGGCCTTCCTGCTCTTCCTGGAGGGAGTTTTCTGCTTGATTCATTTGGATACTTTTACATATTAGGCTTGGTCCAATTGAACCATTTCTATTCTCTTGAATTTTACCGCTTTTTGAAATGTACTCAATTGCAAACTGACGTATCATCTTTTTCATTAATTCCTGAGCAACTAGGGGAATGTTAGGATCACAGTTCTGAGGAAGATCTAGGGAAGAAATAAATATAATAATCATTTAAAAAAGAGAAATGCAAATTATCAATCTTTAAACTTATTTTATTACAAATTAATGATTTCAGAAGTCTTTTAGCATCAGTCCATAATCGACAGTAGCTTTTGAGACTTAGCAATAGAAGTCTCACAGATTTAGCTTTATGAAAATATAGCAATCAAAATCATGGCATATTTAATCATTTTTTACAATTAAATATTCTCTGTCCCAAACTAAAATACAGACAACGAATTACACAGAATAACTTATTTTCAGAGTTTTAATATTCATTCATATATATTTTACTTGATATTAGAACATTTAGTGTGTGAACATAAATTTTATATATTAAGTAACCATAAACAAGTGGATTTTAACTTAATATAGAGTAAGAATATGCATTAATTATTTAAGGAAACATCTAAATTCATAACTCTGTATTCATTAAATTCCTCGATTCTGTCAAATGTGCGTTTCATATATATCCTGAATGTCATCATCAGGGATTTTCCCCCTCAACTTTTTATAAAGAAAAATTTCAATCATAAAGAAAAAATTAAAGAACAGTATGATACTGAGAGCTTCCATCAAGATTCAAGAATTGTTACTATTTTGCCCAATTTGCTTTGTTTTTACTACTAGAACCACTGAAATAGCAGAATCATGGCATTTCAATCCTAAATATTTCAGCATGCATCTCCTAAGATTCTCCTGTAAAATGACAAGACCATTATTGGGGGTCTTAATCAATCCTCGATCCCAAAACACGCTGACCAACTATAATGAAGTTCAGCAGTAATAAATAATTCCACGTGAAACTTGCACAACAGGTAAAAACAATTAAATGATTTTAAAATAAGAAGTATAGATAAGGATAGATCACTTATATACACAATATATAATAGTGATATAGAGTTTGGCATTGGGAGTGGTGTTGTTGGCTTTTTTACACAAATTTCTGGCCTTGCTCCAATCCCTTTATTTATTCTGTCCCTTTAGAAGAGGTAGAGTGATTGGTAAATTGGAAAGGATGACTAGGGATACTTGGGTAGAATCCCTACTTCTTCCTTTTAGAAATGGACCTACTTCTACAGATACTAGTTCTCTGCACCTTAAATGTCTAAACTCTTACCCAGGCAGGCAGATCAGTGTTAATGTCAATAGGCCTGCCCTGATTCAGGGCTGTTGGAGACTGAAAGGGTAAGTCTCCGTAGTTTTGTGTTTCAGTATTAGTTAATACACTTGTCTGAAAGATTTGAAAAAAAGTCCTCTAACCAGTACCTATCATTAGTTAAGTCCACAACTCTAAAATGCAAAGTTAAGTCCACAACTCTAAAATGCAAAAACAAATCCACTAGTCAGAGGTAAGGAGAGGCAACAAATGCACCTCTACCACAACTACCATCACAATTGGTAGCAAAACATGACTTAAGCCCAATATAAATCTATTTATAGTCCTGCAGAAATGTCAACATATTTGATCATAGGGTGTTATTTCAGATCTGCTGCAGATATTACATAATAAATCTTATATTACCGCCTTCAAAATAAAGAATTTTGAATTGTGAAAAACATCTGAGAGAAGGGACTATGGGCCTATAAGAAAAAATAACAGTTAGCCTTCACTTTTATTCTTTGTTTAGAACCTGGCAGGGAAGAGGGGCACTGGAGTAAAAACATACCTATAGGTTAGAATCCTAGCCATCTTTATGAACATAGGTTGGTTACATATTCTCTCCGTGTTTTAAGTTTCTTTATTAAAACAGAACTAGGAAATAATAATAGGGCTGCCCATTGGATGCTGCAGAGATTATATGAGATTGTAGATACAATACTTAACTCTGTACCTGGCATATTAACAACTCAGCAAATGTTAGCTGTTATCAGAAGTCACAGAGGAAATAGAGAAATAAAAAGATGCAGACTGAGCACTACTATTTTATTTAAATCACAAAATGGCAAATAAGTAAAAATATGAGTAGTCTTCAAAAAGTTCACAGAAAATGCATATTATGAAAAAACTATGCATGGATTTGAAAACTTTCTTACACCAAAATAAACTCTTACTAACTTGTTATAACAGGTCTGAACAGGACCTAATTTAGGGAGCTAAAAATAATAAGACATCAGTTTGAAAAGAACTCCTATCAGAGCAACGTGAATTCTGCTAAAACTGAAGCAAGAACAAACATGAAATTTACGGTGAAGCTTGGAAGAATGGTGAAATCACTGATGCTTTACCAAAAATTTATGGGGACAATGCATCCAAAGAAATCAGCAGGTTACAAATGAATAACTCATTTAGGAAGGGATGAGATAATGTTGAAGATAAAGCCTAGAGCAGCAGACCATCCATATCAATTGTGAGGGAAAAAAATTCATCTTGTTCATGCCCTAATTGAGTAGAATCAACAATTAACAGCAAAAAAACAACAGTCTATACCACAGACATCCTAAATGATTCAGCTTATGCAATTCTGACTGAAAAATTAAAGTGAGTAGACTTTCCACTCAATGGGTTCCAAAACTGTTGAACCCAGATCAGCTGGAGATAAGAACAGAGCTTTCAAAGGAAATTTTAAACAAGTGTAATCAAATTCCTGAAGCATTTCTTCAAAGAACTGTAATGGAAGATGCATCATGGCTTTAACAGAATGATCCTGAAGACAAAGCACAACCAAAGCAATGGCTACCAAGAGGTGGAAGTGGTCCAGCCAAAGCAAACTCAGACTGGTCAAGAGCAAAGGTCATGGTAACAGTTTTTTGGAATGCTCAAGGCATTTTGCTTATGGACTTTCTGGAGGGCCAAAGCACAACAACATCTGCTTACTATGAGATGTTCTGAGAAAGTTAGCCAAAGCCTGCGCAGAAAAATGCCTTGGAAAGCGTCATCACAGCCCTTCTCCACCAGGACAATGCTCTTGCTCATTCCTCTCATGAAACATGGGCAATTTTGCAAGAATCTCAATGGGATATCATTAGGCATCCACCTTACAGCCCTGATTTGGCTTCTTATGACTTCTTTTTGTTTCTTAACCTTAAATAATCTTTAAAGGACAGTTAATAATGTAGAAAAGACTATAATGACATGGTTAAATTCGCAGGACTCTCAGTTATTTAGGGATGGACTAAATGGCTAGTATCATTGCTTACAAGTGTCTTGAACTTGATGGAGCAGCTGTTGAGAAATAAAGTTTATATTTTTTATTTTTATCTTTTAATTCCATTTTCCCACACAAACTTTTTTTTTTTTTTGAGATAGAGTCTCACTCTGGTGCCTGGGCTAGAGTGCCATGGTGTCAGCCTAGCTCACAGCAACCTCCAACTCCTGGGTTCAAGCAATTCTTCTGCCTCAGCCTCCTGAGTAGCTGGGATTACAGGCATGTGGCCACCATGCCTGGCTAATTTTTTTCTATATATCTTTAGTTGTCCAGCTAATTTCTTTTTTTCTTTCTTTCCCTTTCCCTTTCCCTTTCCCTCTCTCCTCTCCTCTCCTCTCCTCTTCTTTGTTAGTAGAGACAGGGTCTTGCTTTTGCTCAGGCTGGTCTTAAACTCCTGAGCTCAAACAATCCACCTGCCTTGGCCTCCCAGAGTGGTAGGATTATAGGCGTGAGCCACCGCGCCTGGCCTCCACAAATTTTTTGAATTCTGTTTTTTTCTAAATCCACAAATAGTATTTATTTAAGTCTGTATCTCTTATTTAAGTCTGCTATCTCTAAGCACAAGCAGAAGAAATAGGCCTAAATGGTTTTCCTTCACATCTTGCTTTCAGGTAGCTTGCCACCCTACTTCTACTCAAAGTCTGACCCTAGAGTCACATTTCATAATACACTGTGAAGGTCCTTGCAGAGACAGGGCTTTCCTTTTGTGTGAAAGTACCCCCATTTTATTAAATAGTTTGGTAACTGGGAAAATATAAATGGTACAATTCATAAGCCCAGGTGATACTTTCTTTGTCTAGAATAGACAGTATTAGCATGTGCAACTAAAGTGAATTACCAAAACAGATAATCTCCAACTTGCTCATAGGAATTTCAAATATATGTCATTTTTTGATTATTACCTTCAGAAATCTTTGAAGGCTTCTATGAACCTTCTCTACTTTTTTAAAAACCCAATCTTGCTTTTCATTATATATTTAAAGGAGATACCAGCTTTACTTTTAGGTATTTTGGTTAACTGTCCTGCAATTTATTGACTAACGTCATCACCTTATCAATTCAAAATGATTAAATTTGCTAGAAAGAAACAGACAAAATTAGACTCATATCATGTCACTAAGGCTATACTTTAGGGTTAAGGAAGAATGTTTTATATACTACTAAAATTTAGCTGGTATTAATCCAAACTATAGTATGTAAATTGAGATGTTAATTGTAATCACTAAAAAAATAACTAAAAAAAATTGTAAAAGAAATCACAAAGGAATTAAAATGGTACACTAGAAAATACCTATTTTACACAAAAGAAAGCTGAAAAATAAATTGAAAACTAAACCAAAAGCAAGATAAAAGGTAATAAAAGATTAGAGCAGAAATAATTGAAAGAGAATAAAAAGAGATAGAGAAGATGAATAAAACCAAAATTTGATTCTTTGAAAACATTAAAAGAAATCACAAACCTTTAGTTAGACTGACCATGAAAAAACATTAAAGACTCAAATTGCTAAAATCAAGAACAAAGAAGAAGATATCCCCAATCTTATCACAAAAGATTATTAGGAAAAATGTAAAAAATGATAATTCAATAAATTACATAACCTAGATGAAATGGTCAAATTCCTGGAAGGACAGAAACTACCAAACTGATTTGAGAAGTGATAGAAAATGTAAACAAACTCATAACAAGTAAAGAAACTGAATTAGTAATGAAAAAAATATACCACAAAGAAAGGACTAGGAACAGATGGCTTCAACGGTGAATTCTACCAGACACTTAATGAAAATTAATCCTAATCCTTTACAAACCCTTTAACAAAAAGAGGAAGGAACACTTC